AAGAGCCAAGTGCCCTTTAACACCTGGCGGTCCGTGGGTGTCAGGATACCCCCCGGCCTCGAGCCGGAGAGCAAACACCGGTCCTGCCGGGGCGAGTGCAGGTGCCGGGGAGGCGGGTACGGGGCTCCGCGGACAAGGGGTGGACACGGGGCCGGGGCTCTCGGTGCCCCCGGTCCGGCGGTCCCTGGTTCAGCACCTTCCCGCTGAACAGCAGGAGTGTGGGGCAGCGGCGGGGAGGCACCCCCTGCCCTGCACCCTCTGTTTGGGGCAGTAGGACACCTCGGGGAAGGGGGGCGGGGGGGAGATGGTCTCCCCTTCCTCTTCCATTCGCCGCTCGCCTTTCACATGGACTCTTTTGCCCGTTTTGGGGAACTACCAAATACTCGGGTTGTGCCGCGTCCCGTAGAAATGAGCAGGAATTTCAGTAAATAAGGATGTAAGTGACCTGACAAAGAGCGCGGGGATGTTCCGCTCGGGGTGTGCTCTGCACGCAGGAGCAGCAGCGCCGGCACCGCTTGCCTCAGCCACCAAACACCGTGTGCTTTAAAGGCTCCTCGGGCTCTTTGAAGCAATGACCACCCCGGTATTTGTGGCTGCAGCATCAATCTTTGACCTGGAGTGGTTTATCTTCCATTAGTAAGCCTTTCTCTGCGCTGAACTGGTTAAGTTAGGGTCAAATCTGGTTCAATACCTTCTTGGCATGCTCAGAGGGCTGGCTTTAAACAGTGGCTGAGGCAGAGATGAGGCTGCCTTCCTGTGAGCTCGGCCCCCAGCGCCGCGGGGTGCTCTGCAGGTCTGGGGGTGCCCGTGCCGGGCAGGGCCGGTGGGCACGGGCACGGCAGCGGAGCAGCGCCGGGGCGGGCACGCTCGTGGTGCCTTTTGTTGACTCTAAAAACACGGCAGCTTCTGGTGGGAAGCTGAGCGTGGCTGCGTGCTGGGGGGGTTGCATGCGCCCAGCCGCCGTTCCCACTCCGCGGATGGAAATCCCATGGGGATAGCAGGCTGCGGCGTGAAAGGACACGTTTTAAAATTAAAGGGCTCAAAGAGAGAAAACAAACGGTCCTGAGGTGCGGAGCCTGGAATCCTGTGAGGCACAGCGTGGAAATGACTGGAGAGAGGCTTGCAAGGCAGTGCCTGAGAAACTGAGCCTGCTGTAAAATAAGCAGGTTACCGATAGCCTCGCATCCATCTGCGAGCTGTGGTTCTGGGAGTCACTTCCCCCCTGCCCTGATCCAGCTGCACTACAGGAGCTTGTTCTCCAGGCAGGAGCCACTGGAGAAGAAACCCTGCCTGGCAATGACAGCCCTGGGGTCAGGACGTGCTGCTGGTGGTCCTGGATGTGCCAGTGATGCTCTGTGTGCGTGAAGCAGCCGGGGTGGCTGTGGGGAGCCAGGCCTGGCAGCTCTGTAATAGGAAGAATCACCCTTTCCTGGCTCCGAGGGAAGTTGAGGCTCAGCAGACGCCTGCCCACGGTGCTCGAAGGCTGGGGAGTGGGAAGTGGGACAGACCCTCGGAGCGTGAGTCCTGCTCGTGCTGCGGCCGGGGAGAACTCACCGGCCCCTGCGGGTGCCTGCGGGGCAGCTGCCAGCGTTGGGCTGCAGATAAGGAGAGGAGCAGGGACGTTGTTTTCCAAACCCTGCGCGGAGCCGGGAGCCCTGCTCCAACGCTTGGGTGTGGCCTGTGAATGCACCAGCAGGATCCGACTTCCCCTCGCAGAAGAGGAGCCGCACGCACGCTGCTGACCCTTGATCGCTCGGTCCCGTGGACGCTGGAAACAAAGCGATGGGACCGTGCTGCGGGGTGAGGAGAGCTCTCCGGAGAGCTGGGGAGGCAGGAAGGAGCCAGGGCGGCAGGGCTGGGGCTTGGGGTTCAGCTCTGGGCTGGCCCATTGGGGCGGCCGCTGTCGCTTCCATCCCTGCCACGAGGGCTGTGGAAGCGGGCAGAAGGCGGCGGGTCCTGAGCCTGGTGCTGGTAATGGATTGCGTTCTGTTTTCTAATGAAAGTTTCATTTGAAGTTTGTTTACAGGAAAGAAGAAATTAGCAGAGAGAATTCTCCTGAGAGCCCAGAGAGGAAAAGAATGAGCTGCCTGACTTGCAAGCCAAAAGAGGGTGGAAGGGTAGATTAGATTTACCGTATTGCTCCGAGTCAGAGCTGTTGCTGCTGTTGAGAAACGCTTCCTTGTTTGGCTGGATGCTGGAGGCACTTTGAGGCTCAGCCTTCAGCCAGGGTGTTGGCATCCAGGGGAAACTCAGAGCTGCCCACCCAGCCAGAGATGTTGATCGCACTCTGGTGTCCCATATTTTGATGCTGGGACATGATGGTGCTCCTGGGCCGTGGCCGGAGAGCTGGTGTGCGGGGTGTCACTGCTGGGGACTCAGCTCCTTGGGATTGTCCTAGCATGACGGGGACGTGAGGAGGTCCAAGTGCTGAGCCTTTGGTCTCCAAGGTGTGTCCTGAGGAGGGAGCTTGCTGGTGGCTTCATGTCCCACTGAGGGATGCAGCCGAGGATGCCAGCGCTGTGCTCAAGGTCGGGGCCTTTCTCTTGCTTTAGGGAAGAGGCACAAAGGTGTGAGGAGCTCCTGGAGCACCATGGCACGGGCCGAGCTGTGGGTGCTGCCCCAAGCCTGCAGGCAGATCCTCTCCAGCAGTTCCCACTGCTGGCTCTAGCTGTTCCCTGCTGCTGGAAGGGTTCACCCACTGCCTGCATGGTTGCCCAGCATCCCCTTGGGATGGGCTGTGCTGCGGGAGCTGGGTGCTGCTGGGAGGTTTGTCCTGTTGGCGGTCTGCCTGAGGGTACCAGTGCTGGAAAATGGAAAACACTGACTGGGAAGCAGGGGTGACAGTGGGGATGGGGCTGCCCAGCAGGGTCCCGCAGTAGCCACCTCCTCTCTCTGCTGGTGGCTGGCTCTGGGCTGGTGTATGCGTGACAGGCGTGTTTGGCGAGTCATTTATTGCTTCTCCGTTTGTGGTTTGGTAGGCAGAGGGTTTCTAATGGTGAATGTTGTACCTCGAGAGGAGGATGCACCTTTGTGAAGTGTGTGCATGTGAGGTGGCCTTCCTGTCGCCACCACTATTCCTGAGCACATGGAGACCTGCGTGCCTCCCAGGCTCTGCTCTGGGTGCTGAGGCTGTAACTGAGCCCTGCAGACTGCGCCCGAGCCAGGCGCTTCCTGAAAACATCACAGGTTGCTCCAGAGCTCCTCCTCCTCCTCCTCGGACAGGTGAGAGCCTGTGGGCAGCAAGGACCTTGGCATTTGCATTTGTCTCTTAAGCTCTGACAGTAATCTTGAGTAAGCCTTGTGAAGAAGGCCAGATATTAGGGTGGCTGCCTCCCTGCAAATGCTTACAATAAGAGACTATTTATAGTGTGCAACGGGGAGACCTTTGCAGCTCTGCTCCTCTCTGTGCAAGATGGAGCTTCTGGAGAGGCAGGACCGCTTCGTGGCTGCGGTGGCACCGGTGCTGTGCTGAGCCCTGGGTGCAGGGCTGGGTGTGGGTGTCCCCATTGCCCTGGTGGGCACCCATGGGGCGGCTGAGCCCGCCCGTCCCTCCATCCGCTGCTGTGTGCGGGGCTTCCCAAGCTGTAAATTCCAGGAAGCTCCCCGGGAGGCACACGGAGGGAGCGGGCTGGGGGCGGGTGCGAGCCGGGAGCCTGCAGATGTCTTGAGGGACCGGGAGCGGGAGGCGAAGCGCAAACCTGGCTTTTAAACACGTTTGTTGGCTCACAACGAGAGCTGGCGGGCAGCGGCGGGCGGCCGGGGCACTGTGTGTGAGGCACAGGCAAAGGCTGGGGGGACACTTGCCAGTTGCCTCTGCCACGGAAAGAGCGGAGGTTGGATTTTATCTCAGGACCAGGGGGAGGGAAGAGGAATTAGAAGAGAGGAGACTGTGCAAGCCTTTGAAATGCTTCAATCAAAGGGAAGCGCAGTTGAAAGCGGTTCTGAAAACGTTTTTGGTGCTCCCCTGCACCCCAGGGCTTGGGATGTGGTCACTGCTGTGGGAGGGGAGCGGGGAGAGGCAGGCGGATAAAGGGATCAGCAGCAGGACCGTGTTCGTTCGGGAACATGTCTCTGCTTCCTCCCGAGCTGCGTGTTGGGAGCTCAGGCCGGGGAGGTCCTCCGGCCCCTCCTCTCATTCAGGAGCTCAGTGCTGCCTTTCGTGATGGTTTTGAAATCTTGTGGCTGACCTTTCCGGCACTGGAAGCAATCCAAGGGCTGTGTCTCGAAGTACTGTAAAGGTTAGCGAGGAGGGAGAGAGGGAGAGAGAAAACGTCCTTTCAGCTGCAGGAGTGGGAGAGAGGAATGTCATCTATGCTGCCGGGGAGCAGGCGCCGGTCCAGGCTGGGTGTCCTTGCCTCACCAGGGACCTCACTCCCCCAGCTGCTTCCCAAGGTGTGTGTTGTCACTGTGGCGATATCCCTTTGGAGAGGGCCGGAGGAGCAGTCTCTCGGTGCTGGGGCTGTCTCTGCTCTGCAGCATTGGGCAGTGCAGGTCTACGGGGATGGGTGCTGCTCTCTGGGCCTGCCCCATCGGCCGCTCCCTGCCGGTGCCAGTCCTCTTGGAATTCACGTTGCAGCCGCTGATTTGATCTCGGAAAAGTCCGAGGTGTTTTATGGAGCCGTTTCAATGGAGTTGACCCCATCCTCCGTTCCCACACGCCGCTGCCTCACCAGCACCAAGCTGGGCGGAGGGAGATTAAAGGGTAAACTCCAGGGCTCAGCCATCCGCTCCTACAGGATGCGAGCTCTTTCTAATTGTCCTCAATTAGAGACAGTGCCATTGCTCAGGCACGTCTTCAGGCAGGAAGCAGAGCCCGTCCCAGCCACCTCGGGGAAGGGCTGTGTGGCCATGGGGAGCGCCGAGGGGCCAGCAAGTGATCCTGGGGGCAGGAGCTGCCCGACAGATTGGTGTTAGGAAGGAGCTGGGTGAGGAGATGCTAAAGGCAGAGAAGGGAGGATGAAATCAGCTCGGTTTGTTAACCCTTTCCTGCTTGCCTCCAGGATGAGACATCGGTGAGCAGCGAGGACTTTGATATGAACGACTCCACATGGATCTCAGCTGACCAGCACCTGAACTCCAGCCTGAGCCCCAGCCAGGACGAGAGCATGCGCAGCCCACAGAACCTGCCCGGCCATGAGGACGGTGAGTGCCGGATGCTTTGTGGCCTATTAAACATTAACCAGTCCTTTCTGATCAGGTGTCCCACCTGCAGGATGGATTTCATATCCCTGCAGGCTTCGAAGCAGCGCTGACTCCCAGTCCTTCCCATTTAGCCCCTGGGTTCCTGCTTCAGCCAGGATCCTCTCCAGCTCTGAGCTGGTGGTCCTGGTGCAGGGAGCCGCATCCCAGCTCCTCCAGAAAGGTCACCAAATCCCCTAAGGCATCAGGTTGTAGTTCCCTGGGTGTGATGAGGAGAGCCCTGTTGGTCCTGGGCTGTGGGTGCTGACCTGCAGCAGGGAAGATGCCAAGGCTGCACAGTGCAGGTCACAGCTTTGTGCTTGGAAAGCTGCTCCTTAGACAATGTCTTGGATCCCCCAGGCAAGAAATGTGTGATCTGCAATAGGCAACAGCAATGGGAGCGCGGGGTGGATGTGGGTGTCTCCTCTCTCAGGGCAGGCGGTTGGAAGGGGAGAAGGGGGCACACGTGGGCTGGGTGGGAGGCAGTGTCTGGTGACGAGAGGTGCTGTGTTGCTCCTGGGAAACGTGCTAGTTGAAAGTAAAAGAGCGAGTAAATAAATGGTAGAAGGACGAGCTGGGGTCAGGGTTCACCTCTGTGGTGCTTGGAAGGATTCGGTGCTTGGGCTGTTACCGGCTCCTGCTCAAGAGGTTGAATCCCTCATTGTCCCCAGCCTGGTGCTGCTGAGAGAATGGGAAGGGAGCGGAGGAGCTGAGGGACAACAGGGGCTGGGTCAGTGCTGCTTTAAGAACGGGGACTGGAAAGCCACCCCAGGGGACATAAAGGGCTTTTGTGCTCCCAGGTCTCCCTGGGGTGGCTTTTGGCTGCCTGTGGCCAGCAGCAGGACAGCAGGACAGCAGGGACACTGCTCTGCTCAGCCCGGTGCCTCGTGGCCCTTCAGCCTGGGGCAGAGCTGCAGTTTGGAGAAGCTGCTGGTTTTAGCAGCAGCCCCGGAGCCAGGCAGCCTCGGGGGGATGTGAAACCTGCCTGCGCTGCACCCAGGGGCACTTCTGCTTGTGAGGGCCCCGCCGTGGGGCCGTGCCCGGGGCAGGAGGAAGGGGGCTCTGGTGGGAGCCCAGCCGCTCACATCAGCAGCGTTTGGCACTTGGGGACCAGGCTGCAGCCCCTGCCCCGAGCGAGAGCCGCCTCATCTCATACCCACGGCCGGGCTGGGTCTCAGTGTCCCCCTGAACTTCACCGTTCTCCCATTGGGACGCTTCGGGCTTGTGGCTTATCCCTGACCACCGAATTCCCAAGTCTCATGTACCATCTACAGTGACACAGTTTTCATCCCGCTGCTGAGCACGGTTATTCGACAGGACAGGAATTTAATAAGGGACTTGCGTATTTAGGCAAATGAAGATGTTCTCTCAATCCCCTCTCTCTGCCCTCTTAGGAAATGCTTCCAATTTCTCCTGCCCTGTGGTTTCTCTTCAGAAGCAGGTGTCCTCTTCGGGGCCCTTCTCGGCTCCTTTAATTTCTTCTGTAAGGTTCAGTGGTGAGCAACAGAGCACGAATAGTCCCTTGCTTTGTGTGAGGAGTGTCAGTGTTCCAGGCTGTCCCCAGGGGCGGCAGCAGCATAACTGGGTGGGCTTTGGCAGACCAGAAGTGATGGAGTTGAAGAGCAAGCAAGGCAAGCCCAGGTCACTGACAAGGTCCATCAAGAAGAAACCAGGCACTGGGATTTCCATCAGGCCCTCCTACTTCAGGAGGGACTGAGGAGAGGTTCCGTCACTGTGGTGAATGTCCATGTCCCGTACTGGAGCTTGGAGACACAGGCAAGTGCTGCTGGGGTGAGAGGCCTCGTGCCAGTCCCGCTGCCAAAGGCTCCCACCCAGGACTGAAGCACACAAGGCTGAGAAGGGAAGAGCAGTGGAGCAGCCCAGGAGGGCAGCGGGCGGGGAGAGGAGAGGAGAGAGGAGAGGAGAGGAGCACCTTGCAGGAGGAAGGCACGTTACTGGCATGGGAAGGGAACGCGCATGAAGCCAAGTGTCGAGCGCTCTTCGGTTTCCTTTTCTCTCAGCCCATAAAAGCTCTATTTTCTGGAAGCAGACGTGTTTTACTGGGTTCACCCTGCCTTAAAGGCCATGCACGTGCCAGACTTTCCCGAGGAAATCCTCTAAAGCAGCCTGTGGAGCCCAACTGGCCAAGGTGCCCTGCGCAGAGTGCTCCGTGTGCTCCCTGCCAGAACAGGACGTGTCCACATCTCCTGCTCTTGGCTGCCCACCGTGCCCCCAGCAGCCCCACAGAGCCCCAGCCTCCTGCCACCGGCCGTGGCAGCAAGCCCTGAGCCTCTCCTGCAGCCAGGCTCAGCTCCAGGCAGCCCAGCACTGTGGAGGGGTCACACATCACCTCCTTTGGATCAGGACTTGGTACTCTCCAACCTCTGGAAATCCTCTTGAGTTCCTAAATTGCTGCTGCCTGACGGGTGGGATGCTTGGAGTGTGTCTGCAGTGTAAGACACAGTATAAAGTTTTAATGAAGAGCTGCCCTGTAGGGGAGCAGGATCGTCTGACAGGCTTGTTAAAAAGGTCTCGTTTAAAGTACTGAGGCACCAGCTCCAGGTCTTTCAGAGGAGGAGCCAGTGCTCTCCTATGGCATGTGAGCAGAGTGGTGTGAAATACGGAGAGGCAGGAGAGCAGGGAACCATCACCTCACGCTTTGATACACAGGTACCTGCTGAATCTTCAGAGCTGAAAAGCAGCTGGAATGGAAGCCAATACTTTAATACCTTGTTCTGTCCCCTTGTTCATAAGCTTTGGCCCGGGATAGCCATGCTGCAGCCAGCATCAGCCCTTGGAGCAGCAGGGAGAGCAGATTAGACCTAATGGCTTCAGTGGTTAAGGGACAGAGATGGCACCACCGCAGAGCACCGGCAGCAGAGCCGGGTTCCCGCTGGGATGACGGGTGCATGGTGGGATGCAGGACACCCCGGCCAGCTCTGAGCACACGCTCGCTCCTTCCATTTCCCTTTGTTACTCGTCCTGTGGCCCAGCACGGAAAACGCGAAGCTCCTGCAACATCCCGTCCCCGTCGGATGTTGCTCACAGCGCCCAGGCCCGCAGGAAGCCGGCGGCTACCCAAAGCGACAGCAAGATCAACACGAGCCCTTTGCTGCTCAAGTGGAGCTATTGTGCAGGACATCCTGGAGGGCCACGTCTGCAGGAGCCAGCACGCAGTCCGAGCAGATGAACACTGAGTGCTGCTCCATCTCGCTCTCCCCTGTGCCTGTCACTGTCCCTGGAGGTTTCCTGTGCCTGCTCCCAGCTGAGCATTGGTCCTGCTGATGGGATACAGCTTGCCTCATCCCTGGCCATGCCTCCAGCTCCATCACCCAGGAGCGGTGCTCAGCCCATGGACAGGGGTTGCTGCTCTCAGCCCGTTCTGTCCCATCCTCCTAAAGAACTGGGGGTGTAATATCTGCTTTCCCTGCATGGGGGGCATGGGATTGCTGTATGGCACCATGTTGGGACAGGTCCCTTCCAGCCGAGTCCCTGCGTGCAGCCCTCACTTGAGTGGCAGCGTCCTGCTGAGCCCTTCTGCCTGGAGCAGCAGTGGCTAATCCAGACCTTGGAGAAAGGACTTTCTTAACCTACTTAACCGTGCAGGCACACGCTCCTCGGGGGCATCGCTTGGGGCGGCTGCTTGGGAAGGCTCTGACTGTTGGGGATGTCCCTCAGGAGCCCTCCAAGGGGGGACCTCAAGGACACACAGGCAGGCGTTCTCAGGAAGCAGGTAGAACACATCACCCCCTGCCCTGGGGACACAGGGACAGCGCGGAGCCATCCCCAGCACAGTGCCCTCTCTCTGGCATGGCTCGTGTCCTGCAGCTCTAGGTCACAGCCCCATTACTTGGTGAGATGCTCATGACGTGCTGCACATCCCCTGCTTTACCCAGGCTGCAGAATCCTCGCTGCTCCACAGAGCTTCAGGGCTTCCGACACCACCACTGGATTTCCCTGTCCCAGACCCCCAGCTCAGAGCCCAGACAAGTCACGGGCCAGCATCCAGGCCTTACAACAGCTACGTGTGACCTTATCTTGTTTTGCTTAGCTCTGTATTTCTCCTCTCTGCGGGTGCCCCCCCACTGAGCTGTCCCCACACAAGGCAGCAGGCGTGTCCTTGCCTTGCCTGTGCACTCGGGGCCGGTGGCTCCATTCCCTGCCGCCTCTTCAGGGGCACATCTGCTCCTCCCGAGCAAAGGCCTTGGGCAGTGATAAACACCCTCCTCTTGGCGCCGGTGGAGGAGCTGCAGGGTGCGAGGTGCAGCACGGGCGCTGCAGGGATGTGGTGTCTGTCGCACTGAACGGGGCTTGGGCTCCCCCTTGGCTCGTGTTTTAAGGGGAGCTCTTCCTTAGTCTGGAGCAGAGAGGATCACCGGGCAGCCGGTGCCTGTGCCCCTGCTTTCCTCCCCACATCAAGCACCCCCATCTGAAGCAGAGAGCAGGGTGAGCCCCACAGCGTGTTCCTTGCCTGGGAGGGCTGCAGAGCCCGGTGGCTTGGGGACAGAGCCGCTCTGCCCTGCCCCAAGGAGGGGTGGGCAGCAGGGTCTCCCTGGTGGCAGGTCCGTGCTGCAGGCACCGGCTCCGTGTGCATCCTGCCCAAAGCCACCAAACCCGTTTGCTTGGCGTGGGGAGAGGCAGTGCCCGGGCAGCGGCGGGTCCCCTCCCTGCGGCAGGATCCGGGTGGCTGCCGGCGGCGGTGGCACAAGGAGGGGCTTGCTCTGCACCTTGTCCTTCCTCACCGAGGTGCCCAGGGCAGCGGTGGCAGGAGGGCCGGGGCCAGGAGGACAGGGGACAGCCAAGTGACCGCGCGTTTGTGGCAGGGCTGTTTCTGCAGCGGGGGCTGATGAGCTCCGGTGCAGGGGAAGGTGCCCATTGCGGGGCTGTGGTGAGGTCCCGGGGCCGGCCGGAGCTGCTGCTGCTCCCTCGGGCTGGGCAGCGGCGCTGGGGGGAGACGGCGCCGG